CTGTTTCCTGCCAATGTTGCTCACTCGGTGTACATCCTGGAGGACTCAGTTGTGGACCCACAGAATCAGACCATGACCACCTTTACCTGGAACATCAACCATGCCCGGCTCATGGTGAGTGAGGGGCCCTAGAGGGTCCGCAGCCCTGGTGGGCTGCCTCATACAAAGGCGGCTGGGTGGCTACTGCAAGTACTAAATGCAAAGCACTCAGCCTCCTCAGGGAGGAGGCGATGAGAATGAGCTACTGGTTTGCAGACAGGCGCCTACCGGGCAATAAGGGTGCCCTGGGTCTCCCTGGAAGGAGAACTTTCCATTTGTCCCAGATTCTTCGAAGGAGTACCACTCGCATTTGTGTTATGTAATGGATTTCTGCCAGAGATTTGGGGGGAGGGGCTTCACATGCCTTTGAGCTCTTGCCTTTTCGAAAAAGAAAAGTCTGCAAGCTTATGGCTTAAGGCCCATTCTAGGGTGTCTCCTTGCATGTCAGTGCCTCAAAAGTTTTCGCAGAACCCTGGCTCAAAGCAGCTGATCTGGACAGTGGGAGGGGCAGGCACTGCTGTCCACCGTGCAGAGGGAAGTGTCCTACAGGATCACAGAAGGGCCTGGCTCCCCTGACAGGGCACGTCTGCCCCCAGAGTTACCTGAAGTTATCACAGAACTACCATGGGAGCGCTAGCTCCAGGTGACCGGTACCAGGTTAAGCATATCTTCTGGGTGTACTGGCCCATGGTCCCCGCTGATTACGCGGTAACTGGTCACAGTAGGCTCCCCAGCTGCAGAGGAAGAAGGCAAGCTGAAAGCACACTATGTCTAGCTTTAAAAGTACAACAGAGACTCCCAGGCCGCACCTCCCGATGCTGTCGCACGCCAACATCACCAGGTGGATGTGTTGTTTGGTCTAAAAGGACCAAACGAGGCCACGTATCTAGTTGGGTCAGAAGACAGGCTTTTGAGCACAAAGGTGCTGTTATATCAAAAGAGGCGGAGGGTCGAATATGGGAGATGGCAAGCTGAGAGACTCCGGCAGTCCTGGTTGCCTGGCCCCATGCAGGTGGTGGAGGAGCGCTGTGTTTACCGCGTGAATGCCGACAACAGTGGCTGGACCGAAATCCACCGGGAAGCCTGGGTCTCCTCCAACTTGTTTG